TCACATGGTTATAGCCACTACTTGATTATAGAACATTATAAAGAAGTAAAATGCGTGCAACATACATTGTAAAGTGTTGGCATATAATAATCTCTGTGGGTTAGATAATTAGATAAATATCCAAATAAGGGCAAAATTGGTATGAAAATGTCAGTTACCAGAAAAATAAATAAATATTTTCCATTATTTATGAGGTTAATTTTGACCTGGCTAGTGGATGTTGTAGGCAAATGAATCTCTGTCCGCTTCATAGCCATCTTCTGGAAGGCTGTGCTGACAGTGTACATCTTACGATTTTGACGGTGTTTTTTTCTATCGTCCTCTTATCCTAACCACTGGCTTCTGGTAACCTTCTACATTCTGCTTATATTGTTAGAAGGTATGTTTCAACAGAAACCTTAGATATCCCTTTGTCTTATTTTTAAATGTTAGTTCAACTGCTTGAATGCTTTGTGTTGGCCTCTTGGTGCACATGACCGGCTCATGCTAAATGCTTGGGAGAGCATTGCTTTGTGCTTCTGCATGGATTACATGCCCATAAGTAATTATTAATAATGATTTTGTGCTGCTTAATGTTCAGAATGGTTTGCGGGTGACAGAGGTAAGCATTAGTAGGGCAAGTCCCTCAGCTTTGCAGTGAGAGTAAGCCCTCCATCATGGAATTTCAATTTATTTTAGCATTTGGTGCTCCATCAGGGTCATGATCTAACTGCCTCCCATGCTGGCACCTTGATTTTAAAACCAGCGCATCATTGTACAGTCATCTACGAAGGAACATAATTCATTAACTGCACGTCATTGTAAATTTCCAGTGAAAGATAAGGCAGAGCTTTGTAGTGTAAGAATCTAAATAATTTTAGGTTCCCATATTAAATTTTTTAGGTGAAGAGATTGAGCAAAATGATTACTGCACTCCCATCCAATTGTGTAATTGTCTGTTTTTCCTTGGCATTATGGTGGCTAATATGCCAATCAAGACGAACTAGATACTTTCATTCATGCATTTATACATTTTATCTATTGACCTATCCCTGTTTTACAGTAGGCTCATTCTGTGTAGCAGAGACTGTGAAGAATACAGAAGAAATATTAAGATGATTTTTTTGACTTTGGGAGCTTTTAATATATCTGGCCAAGTAAATATGCTACCAAATGTTACATAAAATGGAATAATGTATGCTGATTTCTTTGATCACTTTCTGGTTGTTAGTTTTTTGTTTGTTTTTTTTTCCTGCTTTTTGTGGAGGCTCATGTGTGGAAGGGTTCTTCACATACCGAAAGTTGCATTCCAGTATGAATATATGATGATTGGTAATCCTCTTAATCAACCTCTGATAGAAGTACCTACAATCATTGACTGACCAGTGATGGAGCTCTGTTCTACTCCATTTGTCTTTGTGGCTGGGTTGAAAAGACATCACTTGATTGGATATCAGGAGCCCAGTCTGCTTTATGTTCTTAGTACACAGATTTCCTGATGTTGTAGAATACTTTTGTGAAACTTAAATTAAAAACTATTTATGGATGTTAGTACACTTCTATCTTCCTACTTCTCTTGACTATGAAAGGAAGCAAATATGCCGGGCTACTATCAGAAGTAGTGGTTTGAAGTTTCCTTGTGATTTTTGGTGTGGTTCATTCATAATAATGTTTAAGAAACTATACAGGAAATTTGAGTCCAGATTTATGTTGGCAATAGAGAGCAAAGAGTTGCCTTCCTTGCTCACTGTGTCATTGAGCTGCTGCCTTTTTTCTTTTTTTGAAGATTTTATTTATTTATTTAGTTAATTAGTTCAGTTAGCCAACATATAGTAATACATCATTAGTTTTTGATGTTGTGTTCAGCAATTCATTAGTTGCACATAACACCCAGTGCTCATGACGTCATGCATCCTCCTTAATACTGTTACCCCATTCTCCCATCCCCTTCCCTTCTGCAACCCTCAGTTTGTTTCCAGGGTCTAGAGTCTCTCATGGTGTGTCTCCCTCTCTGATTTCTTCCCATTCAGTTTTCCCTGCCTTTCCCTGTGATCCTCTATACTATTCCTTATGTTCCATATATGAGTGAAACTGTACGATAGTTGTCTTTCTCAGCTTGACTTATTTCACTCAGCATAATCCCCTCCATATCCATCCATGTAGATGCAAATGGTAGGTATTCTTCCTTTCTGATGGCTGAGTAATACTCTATTGTATATATCAACCACATCTTCTTTATCCATTCGTCTGTTGAAGAGTATCTTGGCTCCTTCCACAGTTTGCTGTTGTGGACATTGCTGCTATGAACATTGGGGTACATGTGCCTGTTCTTTTCACTACCTCTGTATCTTTGGAGTAAATGATCTAGTAGGGCAATTGCTGGGTCGTAGGGCAGCTCTATTTTTAACATCTTGAGGAACCTCCATATTGTTTTCCAGAGTGGCTGTACCAGCTTGCATTTATTTATTTGAGAGCACATGCCATGAGAGAAGAGAGAGAGAGAGAGAAAGAAATAAAGAGAGCTCAAACAAATTGTGGGGGACGGGCAGAGGGAGAAGCAGACTCCCCACTGAGCAAAGAGCCTCATGCTGGACTCCATCCTAGGACCCTGGGATCATGACCTGATCCCATGTCTGCATAACCGACTGAGCCATCCAGGTGACCCTGTTGAGCTTCTTGAGAAAGAGAGCTATCATGCATATGTAAAGCATGAGCTTAAAACTGTTGATCTTAAAATCTATCTCTTTAGGTATCTTAAAATGCATTTCAGGACACAAAAATACAACTGTTACATCCTGAAGAATGAGGACTAGGTTCAGGAGATGACACCAAAGAACCTTTCAACAGAACTTTCCTTGTCTTTTTCTTTTTCACCAAGAATTTCTATTTAAAGTATCCCAAACTGAAATTATGTTGAGATTGCCATTTTATGCACATAATGTTGTCCAGCCTGAGCACCTTGAATCAGGATCTGGCTCTGTCCCCTACTCCTCTGTTGGTGTCTCCTCCCCTGTATGTGGAATCGAGGTGCTAGTGAAATGCACAAGAATCAACAAGCTCAGAGTTTTTGTTTGGTGGTGAACACCAGTTCTGGGTGTACTTAGACCTACTTTGTAGGTAGACCTGATTTGGCTTTGTCATTAGGGTCAGATAACCCCAGAGACCAATAGGCTTGCAAATTTGGAACATAAATTTTGCAGAAGCTGTCTGTCAGTCTCTGTGTTCATCCTCCCCCTCCTCAGATCTGACCCTATTCATGTCATGTTAGATATCACAAATCTCAGAAATGAGAATACAGCTCTTCTGCCCTTTAACCTAATGGAAGTGACACCTTCCTGCCACGCTTCTTGGATAGTGAGGTGCAAAAGGCCTTTCTTTCCATGTATCCAGTTGGTTAGTCTAGGTCTGTAAATACAGGAAGAACAGTCTTTTAGATCCTAGCCTCTAAGCATTGGTTCCCGATAGATTGCTAATCAGGAATGATTTCTAAATTAATGGAAGCATTCCAAATATTCAAAGAATTTCTATTTAATTCTTCATTGTGCTCCTTTGGAATTGGAAAACTTTAAGGCGAGTGAGGCTTATAAAGGAAAACTGAAGTTGAGAAAGGTAATATAATTATGGTCCTTAAGAGTTTATTTTCCTTTTACTAATTCAGATTCATTACCTGAAATAATTTTTTAATTTCTGTCATAAGTTGCCTTAATATCCATTAAAGCTAATGCCATAGAGATTCACTGCACACCTTCATGGCCCCCTTGGGTGTTTGCTGTTCTCTTTGTAAGTTCACACTCATTTATTGGATGGTAGTGACTGTCGCACTAGAGTTAGCTAAAACTAACTTGCTTTCATTTTATTTGGGAAGAAAAGATGATTGCCATATTAAGACAGATAATTGTGTTAACAGCCTTTAATGAAGAGTACTAAAAAATTGATAAAGACCCTCTGTATTTTAAATTTTAAATTTATTATGTTTATTTAGTTATAAAAAGAAACCCTATTTTTGTAGAATCTTGGAAACTCAAAGTATATAGAAGAAAACCCAAATCCCCTTCTTGTACAAAGGTTATACTATTTTGATATTTCTTATACTTTTTTGATATACATATATATAGTGATATACAAAAACATATGCTAATTTAAAACACCTACCCTAAAAATTAACATCATAATACAGTTTTGTATCCTTCATTTTTAAACTTAATATTATATAACATTAATGTATTATGATAGTTTCCACTGTTTTACTTTAAAAACAATTAATGTAATAAATGTGTATACATAAATCTTTTCAAGATAGGTAATTTCGACAATTTTAAGGCTTTTGATACAAATTGCCAAAATGCTTCTTCAAAGTCTGAACCAGATTTTATTTTTAATTTTACTAATTCTTATTTTGCTTTATACTCAAATTTCCTTCAGAAAAAATTTTCTATTTAACAGGAGAAATATTATTTTGTCAATTGTTTTTATTTCCTAAGGAAGATAAACATTTTTATGAAAATGTTCTTTTAAAATTCTAAGAATAAATTTTATTCAATTGGAAAGACAAACTATTAAGTTTATACACTGTAAAAAGAAAAAAAAGGAAAATTATGTAATATCTTTATAAAACAGTTTGAGGGCAGTTTTGCCTAGGAACAAAGAGGAGAATGAATCTGGGTATTAGGCAGTATCCAGTGATTTGGCAACAATAATTATATACGATTTCAAAAATTTCTCATTAATCTGAAATACTCCCATTTAACCAACTGATACAGGAAATTTTAATACATTCTGTTTTTAAGAACCGAGGAAGCAATATATTAAAGATTTGAAGGCTATTGTTTTCAACATCAGAATTGTGGAAACACTTGAATTTGTTATCATTTAAGGATAATTTTACTATTTTGTTTAAAAAAAAAAAAACCCTCATCTGTGGACTATAAAAGAAAAAAAAAATGAAGTCCTATATAGCAACGCCAAGGTAGTGTTGACACTAATACCTAACATTTGCACTCTTTCTGCTCTTTTCTCTTTAGGACATCCAGGCCGAAATTGATGCACATAACGACATATTTAAAAGCATTGATGGAAACAGGCAGAAGATGGTAAAAGCTTTGGGAAATTCTGAAGAGGCAACTATGCTTCAGCATCGCCTGGATGATATGAACCAAAGATGGAATGACTTAAAAGCCAAATCTGCCAGCATCAGGTCAGAATAGTCAATATCAAAATAAAAATGATGGGGGAGAGAGATTTCTATGACTTTTGCATATCAGAAGGAGCACAGGAAGCCTTAACATCATGCTGATTTCTCTGAAGTGGTTTAAGATTTAAACGCAGGGATGCCTCACTGTCTCAGGCAATAGAACATGTGGCTCTTGATCTTGGGGTTGTAAGTTTGAGCCCCACATTGGGTGTGCATATTACTTAAAAATAAAATCTTAAAAAAATTTTATATGTAAAAGTTTTTTTTTTTTTTTTTAAGTTATAGCTTTAGCTCCATTTATATCCAGGGCCCACCAGGACCCAACTGTTCTTGACTAGTTTGCAAATTTGCAACGTCATATTTTAAGTTGAATACTAAGAAGAATAATGTTACCAACACCTGCTAGTTATTGTTTTCCTTGACCAAGTACTGTGTTAGCCTCTTTATAAGCATTACTCAGTTCTCGACATATCCCAGTAGGTGAATAGTAGCGTCCTTCCTTACATGAGGAAACAGAGGCTGAATGAGAATAAGGAATTTGCCAAGTTTTTCAGCTAACAAGTGCCAAGCCGAGATTTGAACCTAGATCTTTCTGACTCTTGGCAGTGAACGTTTTGCTTCATCATGCTATTTGTATGTCCAATTGGAAAATGTATTTATAGAAATTAAATACTGCTCATGGACACTGAAATGGAAAACTGATGATTCATGTCTGCTTTTGGAAAGAGTAAAATTAAATCAGGATGAATTTGAGGACCAGAATGCTGACTAGGAAAGGACCCTGAAAAAGTATCGAGGGTGACAATTATTAATGCTATTGGGAGTCTAGAATTACATTTAATAGATGGTGAACAGTACCCAAGTGGATATGACTTTACAGGAAACTACTAAGCAAAGATCGAAAAGAAGAATGTCAGTAGAGAAACCTAGATCTTGGAGGGGGCTCAGTCAGTTGAGCATCTGACTCTTGATTTCAGGTCAGTTCGTGATCTTAGGGTCGTGATATCGAACCCCACATTGGGCTCCATGCTCAGCTCAGAGTCTGCTTGTCTCTCTCCCTCCTCCTACTTGTTCTTTTTCTCTCTCAAATAATTAAATAAAATCTTAAAAAAAGAAAAAAGGAAAGACCTAGATCTTGTATCTGGGTCAGTCTCTTAAGGTTTGGAAACTGTATGATGTATTGAAAAGTGTATAACCTTAAACAAAATGATCTTAAGTTTGATTCTTAGACTTTGATGTTTACTTACTGAAATTAGACAAGTCACTTGGTCTCTCTTAGCGTTAGTTTTCTCATTCACACAATCAAAATATAAATATTTAATCCACCTGATTGCTGGGAAGATTGAATGGGATAATCTGGCAGTTCTTTAACCTATGTAAAGGCTGTCTAACATAGCACCTCATTTATTTTTTCTTATATAAAGGGGCTCAGTGGATCTGCTTTATCTGGCTTCTGGATTTCATGGAGCCAGTTCCTAGAGCGTAGAAATCTTTAGTGATTATTTGTTGTGAATAAACGTTAAAAATTTTTTTCTATCTAAAGAAAGGTTATTATTCTTCTGAGTCTCATAGAGGGAAATTCACACTTCTTTTTACCCTTAAGGAAGGGGGTAATTGAGCATGACCATGGCAGCCTCCACCTAAAGATCCTCTTGGAGATCATGGCAACACCAGCCAACTATGTTTTTTCAATAAGAGGGGACAGTCTGGGAGTATTGTACAATGAGAGAATATACTTAGGCTTATTTAAGATTGAATTTTCAACTGGCCAAATCCCTTTGGGTTGCAACTTTCTGTTCCCCATAAATAAAAATAAGTAAAATGATTAAAAATGTTAATTCAGTGAAAAACATTCACTGAGGTTCTAGCAAAACCAGCATGTAGTCTAACGAGTGAAAACCACGGTGCTGGTCCTGGTAAAGATTGTGTACATGGTGCTGGCATTTGGAGAGTTTGGAAGATGAGTTCTTTTTTTTTTTTTAAGATTTTATTTATTTATTTGACAGAGATCGCAAGTAGGCAGAGAGGCAGGCAGAGAGAGAGGAGGAAGCAGGCTCCCTGCTGAGCAGAGAGCCTGATGTGGGACTCGATCCTAGGACCCTGGGATCATAACCTGAGCCGAAGGCAGAGGCTTTAACCCACTGAGCCACCCAGGTGTCCCAAGGAAGATAAGTTCGTTAGGAAGGAGAGTGTATTGAAGGCCCACATCATAAAGAGATAGTTCCAGATAGAAAGCTACAGACAGAAAAAAATCTGTGGTCTTCCACAGATGCTATTCCTAAGCCTATCAAGTCACGTTGTTTTTCTAACCTGAAAAGAAAGAGCTCCTAAAGTACTGTTGCAATATTATCTAATAAATAAATTAATGTTATTTTTAGAAGATGAGAGAGTAAACTTTTGCCAGTGGACTTCTACATCAAGATAGATAACACATTCCAGTGACGTGTGTTATTTTAATTTTTTTAATTAAAAAACTTTTTTTAAAAATTTAAATTCTAGTTGACATGCAATTCAATATTGGTTCAGGAGTCGAGTTCAGTGGTTTGGCATTTACATGTAATACCCAGTGCTCATCATCACAAGTGCCCTCCTTAATACCCATCGCCCATCTAGTCCATCCCCAACCTCCCTGCCTCCATCAACCCCCAGTTTGTTCTCTATAGTTAAGAGTGGTTTCCCTCTCTCTCTCTTCCCCTGCTCCCAAATGCTCATCCTTTAGTAAAGTGTGTTATTAATGTGATAATAAATTAAAAGATTGTTTAGCCTCATTACCGACCTCTGGAGATTAGGGCATTTATTCAAGCAGTTAATAAGAAAAAACTTCTGTGTTTAAGGCCCTGCAAATAATAAATAAGATATGGTTCCTGTCCTAGCAGGCTCACAGGTCTAAACCAGGTTAAAGAGGGTTCATTGAAGGCTATAGTTACTTTCTCTTCAGATGATCACCAAAGGCTTCATCGAAGAGTCAGTTACTAAGCTGAGCCTCAAAAAGGTATATAGTTTCTCTCCGACAGATTGCATCAGCCCCGGAGAAGGACATGTTGGCAGGAGGCTTGACATAACAGTGTTTTCCTGGAACAGTGAAGAAGTTCAGCATGGGTGAGAATTTGCTGTTGGTGTGAAGGGGAAAGATTGTGGCCAGAAAAAAAAAAAAGGTGGAGAGGTGAGGCACACTCGTGGAACGGCTGTGTGCACCATGCTCATTCTTCTGGTAATAGAATTTGAAACCTTTTAGGTGACATAGTTAGATGTGAGCTTTGGAACGATCCCTCCCACATGCCCATGGAGGATGCTTTCTTAGATAACACAGTTCTGAGGACAAGGAGAGTGGCTAACAGACCTCTTCAGTATCCAGGAAAGGGAGGAGACCCTGAATAGGTACTTGGTTCATGTTGTTGAGGCACTAGTGAGACATCCAGAAACAAATCACCAGTAGCCAGTGGATAGACATCTCTTCAAAAGAGAACAGTCGGCCAAATAAAAAAATGGTGAGATGGGGAGTACCCAGATAGAGGTGGCAGGCAAGTCATTGTAAGTAGGCCAGAGGGTGAAAAATTAGAAGAGGGCACAGCAAAAAAATCACAAGGAAGCCTAATATATAAGGAATAGGTGAAGGAAAGGAAAGCCAGCAAAGGAACCTGAGAAGTGGTTGGCCCTGAGGAGAGGAGATCCAGGAGTGTTGTCAAGAGCCAAGGGAGGAGGGGTTTCCAAGGGAGGGGAGGGCCTAGTGGCTGAGGGAGTGGAGTAAGATCAGGGCTACCCAGGCCAGATGCAATGAGAAGGGCTTTGGTAACTTTTGCTGGGATAGTGCTTTGGTTGAGGTGAAAATCTGATCTCAGAGGACCAAAGAGTCAGAATGAGAAGTGGGGAGGTGGAAACAGAACTAAGCTACACAATCTCATTTTCTCAAGTCACTCTGCTGTGAAGGGGAGAGAGAGATAGAGAACACATTGCTGTAACTATGTTACTAGATGTAACAGCATTGTAAATGTGTGAGAACTGGAGACCTAGATCTGTACCTCTATTGATTTATCTGTGCTTTCATATAGATCAGATATGCCTCACTGAAGAAGTAAATGATTCAGTCTTCATTTTTAACTTGGGCAAAACAAATTCTAATAGCATTCATTATCACTTTGGTATTTATAAAAGATACATATTTCTTTATACATATATAATGTAAATTTGTAACTCTATGTGGTGATGGGTGTTAACTAGACATATTGTGGTAATCATTTATCAATATATATCTATATTGAATCATTGTGTTGTATACCTGAAGGTAATAGAATGTTATATGTTAATGATATCTTAATTAAAAGAAAGAGAGAACATTTTTTTAAAAAAGATAACACAGTTTATTATACTCAGTAATAGGCCCTTGTATAGGAAGCCCAACCTCAAACAGAAGTGGTCCAGGGTAGTGTTTAGTAGTGTTAACCCTTGGAGCTACACCACCTCGGTTCCAACACTGGCTTCACCTCTTAGCAGTTGTGCCACCGTGGACAGGTTACTTAGCCAATATGTGTGTCCTTGTATTGTCAACTAGAGAATAAGAGTAACTTCTTTTAGGGTCATCCTGAATATTTCATTTAATTAGCCTGTATAAAGTGCCTAAGACAGTGGCAAACAGTAATCACTCAATAATTGCTAACTATTATAATATTTTCATGGATTACCATTCTATTTGGCATTAATCCGTTCAAAAGACATAGAAATTCTCCCTACCTCATTTTTTGGTCTTCATCATTAATGTTGGGAATTTCTGAGAAGGTCCCCAACAAATGGTGTCCATCTATCCTGGCTGGATTCTGAACAAATATGAATAAAAGTATGTCCAAGAGAGAACAACAGTGTCATGTTAATTATTGGCAGAGGCCAGGCTGGAGGAGGTGGCTTAGGGAGAGGGCCCCGTGGGCCCAGTTAGCTGAACCCCAGAATGAGGTGGCGTTACCAGCAGTCATAGAGAAGGTGGTCCCCCAGGTGAGGAACCCTACAAGGAA